TTGTGTACCATTTTTGAGCTATCGCTATTTATAAAAATTTGTGGAAAATCGCTACTTTTTAGACTGTACAGTATTTTTCTTAAGTTGTTTCTTCATTTTCAACCAGATTTGCAGGATATGTTCCCAAATAATGTGTCGCCGGAAATAAGCTATGAGTGAAAATTTTGTCCAGTTACTGTAGGTAAGCAATCAGCCAATGTGCAACTCTGTCTGTTATCAAAAATATTTCAGAATATTCCTGTACAAAAAATTAGTAGGCGGATAAATTGTCGATAGTGATGAAAAAATTCTCTGTAAGTCTCGTATATTCTGGAGCTATATCACTGTGAGTACTGATGATACGAGGAATGTCTTTTAAGTTTTCCATATGGAAATAAAACAACACGGCAGGTATTTTTAAATAACTTTATTGATTTTAGAAGTATTCTCCACGAAAATTAATACACATCTCCATGCGCTCGGACCAATTTTCGAAGCACTTTTTTTTTGGTGCATCCACCCTGGGATCGTCGCTAAGACTCACCCGTCCACGTTTGAATTCTCCATACCAACGGAAAATTGTCGACTGATGTGGCGCTTCGTTGCCGGAAACAGACAGTAACTCAGCAAGGCATTCTTGTTGCGATAATTGTCTCTGAAAGTTGTAATAAAATATGGCGCGAAAATGTTCTCGGGTGAGTTCCATTTTTCTAATGACTTGGTGACACTTAAAAATTCACTGTAGTGAGATCACTGCACGTATTGTTGTGAAACCTTGAATATAAGTTTACTAAAGAGTGAGGTTAAGATTCAGTACTGACGTTCGATCCGCGCGGCCTACTATGTTTCTATATGCAAAACTTGAAAGACATTTCTCGTACATCTGTGATTTCCTCTTGGTGTTGTATACTCAGCCTTGTGCTCCTTAACCTATAGCAGATATTCAAAGAAATATATGCAAGAGACCCTCGAGATCTTCCAAGTCTATAAGAGAGAGAGAAAAATTTCAAAACGATTGCACTGCTTTAAAGCCCTTTGACCTTTAATGATGTGTGGATGCACCCTGATGTGCTACGCATTCTCCAACGCGCCTAGAAATGCTTCTGATCAGGTGGTCAATGTCCTCCTGTGGTATCTCATTCCAGGCAACCACCAACTCCTCTCGAAGTGCTTCTAGAGTCTGAGGAGTACGTTGCAAATTGAGCAATCTCCTACCCATCATATCCCACACGTGCTCAATTGGGGATAAGTCGGGAGACCTTGGTGGCCATGGTAACAATGTGACATCAATATGTTGAAAGAAGTCTATTGTGACTCTTGCAACATGTGGTCGGACATTATCTTGTTGGAAAGTTGGATCTGCCAGGGTGTCAAGATAGGGTAAAAGATGGGGTTCTAGAACTTCGTGGATATAACGCTGCGCGTTCATGTTACCTCTGATGAAGATTAAAGGTGACCTGGAACCATAAGCTATAGCACCCCAAACCATAACTCCAACAGTGTGATGAACATGTCTTTCAACAAAAAACTGTGGATTCCTCCTTTCACCACGTCGCCTTCTAACCCTGGCACGACCATCGTGCATGCCTAAACAAAATCGAGACTCGTCACTAAAGACAATACTGTTCCATTCCTGATCCCAGAGTGACCATTGTCTGCACCACTCAAGGCGATTACGTCGGTGTTCTCGAGTTAAAGGGAGGACCCAGTGTGGCCGGTATGAAAACAAGCCAAAACTTCTCATTCGGCGGTAAACACTTCGCATGCCAATAGGTCTTCCGTGTTCTGCAAACCATTCATTTACAATGGACCTGGTAGTGGAGAAACGGTCCCTTAAGGCCAATAATCTTAGGTGGCGATCTTCACGGTCTGTTGTTCTACGGCGGCGTCCAGTGCCCCTTGCTCTTTGCGCACGGCCTTCTCGAAGCCATGCCTGACAACACCTAACCACAGTGTCTACACTTCTTTGCACTCTAACTGCAATTGCCCCGAAGTCCCACTATACGGCCCCTATCAAACTCACTAAGTTGACGAAATCGTACAGGTCTCCGTACTCTAGGCATCGTAACCGATCGTAAAGGATGTCAAGAACCAAAATCCGCCAACGTTGATTCTTTACTGCGGCTGAAATATTCATTTTTAGAGCGTTAGTGAATTAAAAAAAAGCAGTATAAAAACCGGAATGTCCTACTGATAAGGCTGAAAGTTTTGTCACTTGTTACTTACATTAAGATAAATACATTCACCAACTTTTATTAAAATAAAACCATTTAAACTGGGTGTTCGGATTTATATGTCACTTAGTATACTTTAATAGCCCACTTTTTGCTTATTGCCCTACGTAGAAACCAAACCTGAACCGTGCTGATTATTGCCAATAAGTATGCAACACGGTTCACCTCTGTCGGTCACACAGACTGCAGCAGCGTTATTAGTTTTTCAAAGGATCCACACGTCGGGAAATAGAGCTACTCAGCCAAAACTGGCTCGCTCGGCTCATCAAAAGCTCATGTTCCTTCCACTAGACTTTTCGCTGTGTAAACAAAGAAGTGCTCTCGCGCCCATATTTTATCCTCGTTTGTTGTTTGTTGATGTCTAGTCGAGAACTACACCGGAGGCATATCAGTGTTAATTGCTGCAGGTTTCGAGGTGCGCGCGTAGAGAAATGGAGATTAAAAGAAACTAACGAGGACCCTGAATAAGAGAAATGCGCCGTAATTCTTACTTTGTCCGCTGCCGGGACGTAAATGATGCAGGAGCACTCGAAGTGGTGTCGTCGTTGAACGGAGAATCTAGTGCGAAAGAGTGTGTGTGTGTGTGTGCAGAACGCATGCATTCAGGAAAGGATCTAATTTACTTAGTAGATAGTAGATAGTGCAATGAAAAGCGGGCATAAAAAATCTTGCAATACCAGGTTACCTCTCAGTGAATCCCTTAAATAAACACCAACTCCTCATCCACGTCCCACTCGATCAGTATGGAAAAAAGTGTACTCAGGAATATTTACTATATCTGCTGTAAAATAACTGTTAATCCATGTTTCGGAGATACCCATAATATCATAGTTATCAGTAGTCAACAAATCTACAAAGGAATCAAAGCCAGCAAACAGAGATCTTACATTCAGGTGTCCAACAACAAAATGGTTATAAGTATTTCTGCAATTATTCATAAGCAATCTGCATTTTCAAATTATCGATCTTCATTTTGTAATAACTGCAAGAGGTATCACTTGCAACATGCTTTTTACAACAGTTAGTTTTATATCTATCATTATGAAACTTACAGTTAGGAGAACAAGGATCATCAGCTTTACAATCTCTAAATTCATGAAAACCTGAACACTTAGAAGAGATAGCATTCTTGCTTCGGCAATCTTTCTTACCATGTCAAATTTACAACATTTATAACAAAGTAGCAAAGATAAATTTTCCCTCGCACTACATGTCACCCAGACAATAAAAACAAACCCTTTGCTACTAAGTAAATTATAGCAACTAATTATTTTTATATCATCTGAATCAGCACTTAATTTATTATTAAATATTAAATCGCCAACAAAAGTATCAACAAATTCGAGTTTATTTGGACCAGGATTTTTGAAACAGTCGTTAGGTACAGCCTGTATCAACATTCTAGGAAACATTTTGGTAGGCACACAAACATCGAATATATTTCCTAAATCAGATTTTAGAGAATCTTTTAATGTCTACACATCTTTTTTACTATTACAGCTGATCATCAGCCCATTTTTGGTGAGTTTATAGTCTTGTTGATATTGACATTAGGAGCACCAGGAGAATAACGAGATGTAAAATCATTTTCGACAGTTCTGTACGAAGTATAACGATCTGCAGGCTTAATCAACAAATATATATATATATATATATAGGTGAAACATTAAAGCTTCCGCCTTTTGTTGGGTACTTCGACAAAATTTAGGCAAAGAGGACTCTTTATACTTTTTTAAATTAATTAAATTAAATTCCACCAGTAAATTTCATTCCACTCAAAATCTAATAATTCTCTTCTCACGATTTATTAATAATTGTTAATTTAAATTCCCATTAATTAAAATATAGTTTATTCAACTGCCTCTGGTCGGTTTAACAATTTCTTACATAACATTCTGAAAATCACATCATCACATCAAGTGATTTGGCAACGTTTGGCACACGCCCACAATTCGTTCCATCTTTCAACACAGACATTGACAACCTTCGGCCTTCTGTTAAAGGGTTCATCTCACTCATTATTCCATGACCACCATTTTGTGCAATCATCAAGTGGCTTCACGATGTAATGCTCTAATGTTTTTTAAATAATTTTTAAACTGTTTTTAACTTGTTCTTGTCATATTTTCTATAATTTTGACCATTGTACCATCTATCCAGCTCTCACCATGTTACTGGACGTTTCCCTCATCCTATACGTAAACAACAATTAGCAACATCCTCACATACTACTGTAAGTTGAGTCAATTTAAATTCATTTTACAATTTTGTTGCTACTGTTATCATTGTAATTGCAGCTCCTGATGATGATGGCAAAGTCCATTGAAAGCTAGAGAGAATTAAAAAAGTATAAAGAGTCCTCTTTGCTTAAATTTTGTCGAAGTACCCAACAAAAAGCGGGAGCTTTAATTTTTCACCTAACTGGTCTAGACGACAATGACCACGTCTCAAGTTATATATATATATGTTCACAATAATCACAATCTTTGTTTTTGCTTTGTTTCCACAATATATCCTCTCCCGTTTGCGATTTTATCGATCAAATTTTTTTCTCTTACCAGGCACTCAATCTCTTTTTCCAATACAGCTAAATCACCTTCGGGCACACTAGCACTGTTCCTTGACGCCCGTGGACCAGACACCGTTCTAACTTCAGACTTTTCAGGGATTCGATTAAAAACTGCTTCCCCAAAATCTGCCATTTTCCGCTTGCCATTTATAATTAGAACACAATCGCTTCGTTTGATTCCCGCACAATCACGCTTAACTTTAGCTAATTTGTTCTAGACCTCAGCACAATGATGATGGAACAACTTTTTGCAAAAATCGCAAGAAATATACTTGGTATTCACAATGAAATTATCTGAGCACCGAGCACACGTCTGTTATGCCCGATGCCATATCTACGGTCTTATAGATAAGACCCAGCGTCGAGTACTGCCCACATGTTTGGGGTGCTGCCGTCCCGACAACGTTCTCCAGGCTCGATGTTGTTCAGAAAAGGGCCTGACTGATCAATGACTCTTGTCTAACAACCAGTCTCTCTTCTGCACCTACACCAACAAGCTCTGCTCCTCCATCCTTATCGTCTCGAACTGCGTACATCCAGAAGTGGCCGACACGACCGCTCCTTGACTTTAGGATATTGAGATTGTCGAACAATGATGTCTAGTTTCAGAGTGATAATTATGGCGATCAGATCGCTATCATTTTATAGCTACGGAACTCTTTTTAAGGGCGTAGAACTTTAGTAGCAATAAAAGCTATATGTGATACCTATCATTTACAGGGTAATTATTGAAAATCGTACATGAATATATGTCTAATTACAAAACAGTATGATTCACTAGCTCTCTCAATGTGGAAATATAGAGAATATAACTGTTACTCTTAACTTGCAAAGAAAAGTCCTTCGTCGCCTAGACTTGAAGAAAGTGATATTTGTTCTGCTGCTTCTGCTAGATACATTAAAGTTCCTTATGTTTAGAATAAATGAACAATTATGAGATTTGGCAGCCCACTTGCTACTCTTATCAATCCGCCGTTGAATTTTGTACAGCAATGAAAGAAACTCTACGTCTTGCCTCAGTTGTGAAATATCCTGATCAAGCCTTCCACACAATTCGTAGTCAATGACTCGTTCTGGATTAATTCCACTGATTTAAAAGCAAACTTACGTTAGAGCTTTTCGATGAAGCATTTCTATTACAAGGATGTAGCAATTAAATCTAAGAACCCAAGTCACAGAACCATATTTAAGCTTTGGACGTGCAAGCTAAGTGAATAACAACTCAATGACATCTATAATCAAACGCTCTACAATTTCACACAATGAACATATCAAGGTTCAACGCCTCAGACGTTTTCTGTTCAATGTTTCCCAAACGTTAACCTGCTGTAAAAAATGGCTGCTGGCTACTTAAAAGTGCAGGACCGGCAACAACGTAGTTGAAATCATCAACTGCATTACTTCTACATGTATCTCACTATGTCATAACTTTACATTTTTTCACATTAAGATAAAGGTTCTCTTTATTACCCCAATTTTCATCAAACGCATAACCCTTTGAGAAAATATACAGATAAAACAATACTTGCCTGATGGCTGGAGTTCAATGTGTACAAGAGAGAAGTGTGTTTCAACACATCTTAGAAAGAGATAAGAGCCGGCTCAAGGGCGAAGGTCATCACCACATTGCCTAGCAATGGTAACGCAGAAGGTTGCAATCTGCCGCGTTGCTAATATGTTACACTACAAAACGTTCGCATTGGTCTTTACAATAAGTTGCTGTCAAACCCGAGAAGGAGGTCTGTAGATTTAATATTTTATTTTCATTTTGATTAGAATTATTGTAAATTGTTTATTCGGGCATATAGAATAAACTGACCCATATTTTCAACATGGATCTTAATTCAAGTAATTGGTGTATCATATTGGAAACGCGGCAGTTGGCCGCGTCAGCATTGCTAGTCAACGCGGTGATCAGCTCCGCTATCCAGCCGGCTTCTATCTTTTTCTAACATATGTGTCTATACATTCTTCTCCCTCGTACACATTGAACGCAATCCGCCAGACAAATTTGATTCTCAGTGTAAAGATCACTTGCGTGCGCGGTGTTACAGGCAAAGAAGTTCATATAAGGTACCCGGGGGTAATAAGGCCCACCTAAACAAGTCAAACGAATAAACAAAACACAAAAAAAATCAAAAAATAAAAAGAAAATATTAAAATAATGATATCCAAACATAAATATCAAAAATATCCCTTTGGGCCTTAATATCTGCAACAACATATAATGAGATTTGAATGAGAGATAAAAAAAATAACAGTTCAACAAAATACTGATAGAATAAAAAATAAATGTAACACACTAAAAAAACAGTATCAAAGATAAAATATGGTATTAAGTATAAATCTAATACTTAAGTCATACAGTCTGGACACAACAAATTTTTAGTATCGTCCGCAGTCAAACCAGCACAATCCTCATGAACTCAAAAACTACAAGAAGTACATAGTCTCATATCTGCTACATAGTCTTCGTAGGAAATCACACAGTGCCATTCTTCGTTATGTTCTTTTGTTTTTGATGCAATGGAAGACACAGATTCAGATGGCGATTTAGCGGTATTCGATAAAACTGGAACGGGATCAAGTTGAGACTCCACCTCCTTTAAAAATACGGATCGCTTGACTTCAACTGCTTTGTAATTTATAGCTTTACGTCTTGGAGCAGATTTTTTTTTGACTAGATCTGGTGTTGGTAACACTTCCGCGAAGGAATTACTCAAAGGGATTAATTTTTTACGCAATTCGCCTATTCGCCTAAAGGCAGGTAGTCATCTGAATCATATTCCGAATCATCGGGGGCGGCGGTCGTCTCCTGGTAAGGTTTCTCAGTTGCAAGACTTGGGGCAAATGCTTCAATGGGAAGAACATCCTTATCATAAGAGCATATTCCCGTAGCTCGAAAGCCGCTTGTAATATTTCCAATGAACATTGCTTTCTGCCATGTAGGTGTGAAAACTTCAGAAAATCTTTCCCTGTTTAAATCACGTGTAGGATGTTTATCCCAGTACTTTAACAATTCATCGTCCCAATAAGCTTCAAATGCTCGAAATATAGCTTTGTCCATCGGCTGAAGCTCATGGGTGGTGTTACTCGGCAGACAATATAAGTGAATCTCATGAGCTTCTGCTTTCTCAGCAATGCTAATATCCAAATGGCATTTGGCCCCATCAAAAATTAAAATTACTGGCGGAGGCGACATGTATTCAATGAAATGGTCTAACCACTTATCAAACGTTTCTATCGTCATGCTCCCTTTAGGCGTCATCATAACTTTTGAGCCAGCCGGTAAGCCATCTGAGTAGGTTGGCTTCATTCTCTTGCCCTTAAAAAGAATGACAGGCGGTATGGCATGTCCGAGAGCATTAGCGCAAGCGACGATAGTTTCGTTTTCGGCGTGTTCATGAGAAATTACATGCACTCGTTTTGCTCCTTTGGCTGCCAGAACGTTTTGTTGGTGGTGAAGAGTCAAGCGGCAACCCTTCTCGTCCATATTATAAATTTTTGCTTCTTTATTTATTAACTGAGTGCGCTCCAACAAATCTCCTAGTTTTTTGAAATGATCTTCTACGATAAAACGATTTAATTTTTGGGCTCTTGCTGGATTCATGAATTGAGATCGACGTTTTGATATTCTCGGATGATTTTTCAGAAAAGTCCTTACCCACTCCCTACCAGCGAGACGAGTTTCCTGATTGAAACAATGCTTAATTTTCTTTTGCTCAACATACCTGAACACAGACCTTCTTAATGCTTTTGGTGTTAGCGGAAAACCTTTATCGGCTAGCCGAATTATTTTATTAAGGCCAGTCTCTTCATTATCGGTCAAAATTGTTTGTCTACCTAGTTTTCTCTTCACGCTTTGTGATGTAATGTGGTTCCTAAGTGTTCGTCTGGGTATTCCGCGTTTTGGTTCCATCCAGCGCTGAGATTTTCACTCGTTAATACAATTTAATGCCTCTCTCATCACCTCTTCATCCCAATTTGCCCTTATCTCTCTGCTTTTTTTACCCATCTTCTGTAAAAGAATAAATAAATCTAATGAATACGTGTATTCATGGCGGCAGAAAATAAAGCCCAAGCCTTTTTCAATACATTGTAGAAAATTAGGCCCGGGCCTTATAACCTGTAGCACAATAAAATTAATTTTGAGGTTATTAAACAACAAACAAACCCAACATAAAAAGAAACGCTACGTAAAATGAAACTATCAGATACATAGATTATCATGCATACATAATGAAAAATCTACGTATTATTAAAACAATTTAATTTGCTTACTTACCGGTCGAAATTCTTATAAAATACAGCACAGCGAAACGTGACACCATAAAACAAGCCAGGAAGCTCATAACCATAGAACAAAATTACATTTCCGGCAACAGTAATACTAAATATTATTAACAGATGGCGATATAAATATTTTAGGCGCTTTCCTTTGGGCAAACCAGCGTTGGGCCTCAATATCTGGTGGGCCTTATTACCCCCGGGTACCTTATCTATGGCTCCCACAAATCACAGCTTCAATGACCTGATATACGCAAAATTTTGTGCCCTACTGCTTTTTGAAAAATATAATTATTGTCTCATATTGTCTGCATTATTGATCGAAACGGGTGACCTAAGCTTTTAAAAGAATAATATAATACAGTTTTGGATCTATGAGTATTTGGGCAAGGAATTCGTGTTGTCGCATCAAACCTCTTGAGTACAGTGTATAACTTCCGCATCTCGTATAGTGTCACACCAACTATGCGCCAGCCTCTTAATTATTCTGAATAAATTTAAGACTTCCCGCGGGGACGTGGAACGGATTTAACGTATTTTTAATTAGTCTTGAAGTTCCAAGCAGGCTGAGCAAAAAGGCCAAGACACAAATGCTGGAAATTATATTTAAATCGCGTCTAATTCCTTCTTTGAAATATTGAACGCGGCAAAACGAGAAAAGCAGTATTCTCTATTGCAACGTTAATTGAAAAAGGATTTCCAATAATGCGGCCGCAACTGCGGTATTTTTTCCTTTGGCTGCTGATCCTGCATTGACTCGGGTTCATTAGACAAAAATCTCCAAAGGAAGTCACTTACGAGGAATGTCTTTTAAGTTTTGCATATAGAAACATAGTAGGCCGCGCGGATCGAACGTCGGTACTGAATCTTAAACTCACTCTTTAGTAAACTTAAATTCAAAGTTTCACAACAATACAGTGTTCTCACTACAGTGAATTTTCAAGTGTCACCAAGTCATTAGAAAAACTCAACCGAGAACATTTTCGCGCCATAATTTATTACAACATTCAGAGACAGCATTG